CGGAAACCCTGTACAGGGTCGCTATGGGTCGGAACCGACTCGAAGGCACTTAACAACAACAACATATATATATATATATATAAAATGATTTGCCTCAAGCACTACTTTATATAAAGTAGAAAAATCTGTTGCATTTTTGACACCTACCTCATTTCCATTTGCTGTAACAAATAGCTTACTGGTGAATATCATAGCCTTCAGTATGGGTTGCATCTCAATGTAAAGAAAATAAAAATCCTCACTGCTGGATCAATAAACAACATCTATATAAATGGAGTTCTGGTGTGACATTGTTGGTTAATGTGCTGGATTGCAAAGCCCACTTGTACCATAAGGCCGGCGGTTCAAGTTACCAGCTGCTCCTCAGAAATCATATACAGGGTCGCTATGGATTGGCTCCTGACTCTACAGCACTTAACAACAACAATATATAAATGGAGAAAAGATGGAAGTCGTCGAAGACTTCATTTTGCTTGGATCAACAATCAACCTGCATGGAAACAGCACACATAGAAGTATTGATGCATTTGAATTACGGTGTTAGAGGAGAATGTTAAAAGTACTCTGAACTGTCAAAAGAACAAGCAGATCTGTGTTGGAAGAAGTACAGCCAGAGTGCTCCTTGGAAGCCAGGATGGCCAGATTTTACCTCATCATTCAGACATATTATCAGGAGGGACCAATCCCTGGAGAAGGATGTCATTATTGGTAAAGTGGAGGGTCAGAGGCAAAAAGGAAGACCCCTAATGAGATGGACTGGCACAGTGGCAACAGCAGTGGGCTCGCGGATAGCTACGATTGTGAGGTTGGCACAGGATCAGGCAGTGTTTCCTTCTGTTGTGCATAGGGTCACTATGAGTCAGTACCAACTCAATGTCACCTAACAACAATAACAACCATCTGAGTCCTGGTGTGGCATTGTGGGTTAATGCACTGCACTGCAAGATGGATTGAACCACAAGGTCAGTAGTTTAAGCTCACTAGCTGCCCCTTGAAAATCCTATTCAGGGTTGGAACCAATTTGATGGTGCTTGGAGTCCTGGTGTGGCGCTGTGGGTTAATGCATCAGACTGCAAAGCCATTTGAACTGCAAGGTCAGTGGTTCAAGCTGACCAGCTGCTTCTCAGAAACCTTATACAGGGTCACTATAGGTTGGAACCGACAAGACGGCACTTAACAACAACAACAACAAATGTGAATGTCAACTCTTAGAATTATTTAGTACATAATCAATGCAACCCTATAAGGAAATTTTATAATGACTATGTCATAATGACTTCATTACTTTATGTGGTAAATAAAACAACCAGGTAATGCTTCTAATCTAGGCAAGTATCTTGGCAAGTTCAATGATCTTGAACCCAAAATGCTGTCATTGTCACCATCCTGGAGGAAAGAACATACTGTGTTTAACTTCATGAGAGTATCATGATTGTCTAGATGCTGAATGAAACAGTTTAAGGCAGTAAATATAGTCTCTGAGAGTATGGAGGACTTCTGAGTAAATCAGTAAATGATTCCTTCTCTAGAACTATTACAAAGGGTAGGAACATAATAGACAAAGCATATATAGTTTACAGTGTTCTTGTATTATATGTTATATTGTCTACTGCTGTGATTGTGTGCCATTGTGCCAGTTCCAACTCGTAGTGATCCTGTACAGGGTTTGAACTGCTGATCTTGTGGTTACCAGTATGGAAATTATGAACTGGTACACACCTCCAGTCCAACACCTAGACATTTTAAGTATGTGATGACTTCAAAAGATTTGTGGAAAAATGGAATGAAAACATAATAGTTTTTCCACCAAGCATTTTGTAACCACCTTGTACATTACTGAAGATTCTTTGACAATAAGCTGATGACATTTAATTAAAAGTAAACATACTGTGAATCTCATTATGCCTCTCCTCATTTGTTTTTACTGTCCATAGTTGACACTCCAGATCCCTATGTGGAACTTTTCATCTCTACTACTCCTGATAGTAGGAAAAGAACAAGGCACTTCAATAATGATATAAACCCTGTGTGGAATGAGACTTTTGAGTTTATTTTGGATCCTAATCAGGAAAATGTTTTGGAGGTAAGTGCATCACTTGGGCACTATTTGATAGTTGAAATTCATATTGAGAGAAATACTTGATTTTGCTTCCATCGAGTTCTCTTCATACCAAGTTTAGTGGAATCTAGCTGGGCAGCACAATAGACAGTTTCTAGATAGGGCACATTAAGTGAAATGTGTGTTCAACAGGAAATGTAGGCTTCAGATAGGACGATTCTTGTGTTCTTTCCATGTGTTTTGAAGGAAAATTGAATCATATAAAACAAAATTGTCGATTAACTTTTTTTTTTTTTAAGTTTTTATTGTGAACTGAGTGATAGTTTACATGGGAGAATATTAGCTTTATACCGTCGTTTTATTGCAATGATTATAATCTCCTCCATGCATTATCATGCAACAGTATTTGCTTCCATTACCTCTGTTTTTAAATTTATTTTATTAATTAAATTTTTTTTGGGGGGGAGATGTACACAAAAACACGCAGGAATATATAATAATTTAAACAACCTAAGGGCATATTCTGCAAACCTGCCTTCTGGCCACCAGCACCCAGTCCCTCTCTTCCCATGAGTCCAGAGTCTTCAGCTGCTCTGTGTCTCCCTATCCTCATCTCTTCCACCATCTCTGGTGTTGCTGCTTCTCTGGCTAGTGTCCCGCATTCCACTTGTCCTCTTCTCCCTTGATAGTCCTAGGGTCTTCTGTTCCTGGAATGTAAGATTAACTACTCCCCCTTTTTTGTTACAAAACTTCTACCTTTGCAGTTGTGACAGTCTCAATTAGTCTTGATAACAATTACTCACTATTGAATCATAAGAATCTTATCCCCATTTCTTTTCACCAGACCCATCTAGACAAAATGAAAACTATTCAGTGGGATTTCTACCTTCCTCAGCACATTCTTAAGCTAGACCCCCTCTTGAAAACTTGTAAGCAGTCACTTTGTGCCTTTATTGCCCCCTCATTTTAGGTAACTAATATCTAAGTTGCCCATTCCTATTTACCCTGTATGTAGAGGGGATAGGATTGATATTTGGTGTGAAGACTCCTTCCCTCTCAGTTGATATTTTGAGCTATCTCTTCCATAAGTCAAGTTCATCAAATTGTAACAATTTACACTTGTTCACTTGTTTCCTTTATCAAAAACATTTTTTTTTTTTAAATCTTCTTCTAGTCGAGTTCTGATTATCAAGCTATCAAGGCTAAGTCAAATAGGTACTATCTGTAAGTTTGAGCATTCTTGTGCATCTCCCCTCACATCATATCAGCTGGATGCTTCACTCTTCAATTACATTTTAAACAAATTAAAGGAGATTATTCCAAATTATATATATATGATTGTTTATGTAAATTTTTTTCTGCATATTCTAAAATAGAATCCCCCAGAAGGGGGATAAAGTTACATTTTTGAAAACATGATAATCAATAGGTCAGTCAGGAAATTTTAAAAGAAATTATTATTTTAGTACAAATGTAGTAATAAGAAGGAAAAGACAGATGTATGCAAATTGTTACCTGTTAAAAATTAAAGCTCTGAACTGATGGTTAAATGTTATTTGAGAACTTTTATTTTTTAAATGTGATAGTAAATTTAGACATAATTTTTAAAAGATTCACACAAAGTTTTATGCTTGTGCTCTATCTACCTTTTACTGCTCATAGATCACATTAATGGATGCCAATTATGTCATGGATGAAACTCTAGGAACAGCAACATTTCCTATATCTTCTATAAAAGTGGGAGAGAAAAAGGAGGTTCCTTTTATTTTCAATCAAGTAAGTAACACAATGAATTGCTTTTCAAACTTATGTTAGATAAAAATCTGTGTTTTCTCAAAAGTTGGGTGTAATTCTTAGAATATTTTTATTGGTGGTGGTGGTGATTGTTTTAGGCTGGGTTCTCTAGAGAAGTAAAACCAGTGAAGCTTATATATGTATATATAAAGAGGGGTTTATATCAAGAAAATGGTTCATACAATTGTAGACTTGGGCAAGTCCCAAGTTCATTGGCCAGATGTCAGTCAGTTTGGAAGCTTCTAACTCACATAATTGCAGGGCTGTTAATCCAATATTGACAGTCAGACCACAGACAGGTAGTTTAAACAGACAGAGATGGCTAGCTGCTCCCAGGATCAGCAGCCAATAGAGCAGAACACTGGCTCAAGTCCGAAGAACCAAAGATTGGATTACAAACCAGATGTAGACTCCAGACCCAGCAGAAAAACAAACAAGCTTTTCCAGAATGACCAGTGTATTAGAAGCAGGCCACACCCTTAAGGAAACTGCCTTTGAATTTATTGGCTCCTCATTGCAGATCTTATTTTTTGGGATTACTACATTTTAACTGCCCGACCACCACTGAGAATCCTAGCACAGTCAAACTGACACAAACCTTAACTATCACAGTGTTGCTGGTGATTATGCTTGTTTTTAAAAGATAATTTTATTTGTTTGTTTTAAAGAGAAGAATTTATCTTCCTTTTCACTTCTTGTTCTTATCTTTTTAATTCTGAGGTCTGTAAACTGTGTTTGAGGTAGTATGCTAATACAACAGAAATAGCCAGCTCTTTTGTTGTTACAAATTATAACATTGGGATTAAGCAGTGACTTTGGATGCCATTGGCAGAGCTATTGCAAAACATTTGGAAAGATGAATGGAGATGAAAAATTTAAGAGGAATGGCAGAGAGAGAGAGAGAGAAGTCAATGAAAACTTCCAATGGTGGAAGTCAATGAAAAACTGCTGGGAAATCCAAATTATCCCCAAATTATATTTTTATTAGTACATGAATCCTCGGTGATGGAGTATCTCTGTTTTAAATAACCCTGAAATAATTAGGACTGAAACAGTGAAGAGTTGGTAGAAATTGTCTTAAAGTTATGGGCATCTTTGTATTTCTAGGCTTGATTTCTCTTATTTTTTATGTGTCTGGAGTTCCGATATCTTGTGTTGCAATAATAAAACCCTTGGGGAATTAGTAATAAAGAACCAATTCTTTGGATTTTGAATTTTATAAGAAATTAATTAAGTAGTTCACAGTAAACAATCATGAGTCATTATCCAGGAAGCTGATTAATACATCTATTTCTACTTTGATTAAGAGATGTGCATTTTTGCACATCTTCAGAATAACTTTTTGAATTCCTACAGTCAGAAAAATCTTACCTATCCCATAATTCTCACTTCCATGTAGCTTTTCCTAAACTTTACTATCTGAAATGATCACTCCTTCTTTGTACTCCCATGAAACTTACTTGTGGTATGAATTGGGCTAAATGATGTATACTGTTTAAATTTTCATCTGCTCCATGTAAACTAAAATCCTGTAGGTCAGAAAACTTTAAATACTGTGCATACAGTTTAAATTTCAGAGTTTCTACATAGTTTATATTTATTGAGTGTGAATATAGACCTGTTTTAAAAACCAATTTAAGCCCAAAGTGTTTTTTGACCAGATAATGAAATCAGAACAAGCCAGCTCCTGTACATGTGTTTCCTTCAACTGCTCCAGGAAGCATGTCTTGTATTCAGTGCCAAGAAGCATATTGCCCACATTTCTGTTCATCCCTTTTTAAAACTATTTCATTCATTAAAGAATGTACAGAGTGCAATGAGAACACAGAATAAAGAAATATTGTATTGTGGGAGGAGGCTAAAGATGGCTATGTATTGATAGATGATTTTGAACAGGTTGAAAAGTGAACATAGTCACAGAGTTTGTGTTTAAATCCTTCTTCCGCCTTTTACCATTTGTTTGATTCCAGGGAAATCATTTCATTCCTTTGTGCCTCACATTACTCATCTGTAAAATGGAGACAATATCTCATAGGAAAATCATCATATTAAATAAATTAATTTTATTTAAATATACATATTGGAGTCCTGGTATGGGGCTGCAGGATAATGTACTGGACCTCAAAGTCAGTTTTAACTGCAAGGTCAGTGATTCAAACTCACCAGCTGCTCCTCAGAATCCCTTTACAGGGTCACTATGAATCAGAACCAACTCGATGACACTTAATAACAACAACAACATATATGCATATTATACTATAACCACCACTCATCTGTCAGCTTATGTGTTGTAGTTAATCGCTGTCGAGTCAGTTCTGAGGCATAGTGTTCCTATATTGGGTTTCCGAGGAATGACTGCTGGGTTCTATGGTGTTTTGCATGTTGCTGTGATGCTGGAAGGTGTGCCACCAGTATTTTAAATACCAACAGTGTCATCCATAGTGGACAAGTGTCAGCAGAGTTTCCAGATTAAGATAGACTAGGAAGAATGACCTGGTGGCTTATTGGTCAGTGAAAATCTTATCAATCTTGTCATTGATCCACAATCAATAACAATAGGAACAACATTCAAGAAATCAAACAATTTATTGCATTGGGCATATCTGCGACTATAGATCTCTTCAGAGTGTTAACATTGTTACAAAGCAAAGAAAGGTATGTCTGACCCATGGCATGTTGTTTTCAATCACCTTGTATGCACATGAAAGGAACCATGGTATACATTGGGAAGCTTACTCCAAGGTCAGAAATTCAAATCTACCAGCCTGTCCTTAATCCTGGAGTCATATGTGGCACTGTTGGCTAATGCACTGGACTGCAAAGTCGTTTTGCATTGCAAGGTTGGCAGTTCAAGCTCACCAGCTGCTCCTTGGAAATACTATGGCGCTATGGGTTAATGTGCTGTACTGCAAGGTAGGTTTGAACCACAAGGTTGGCAGTTCAAGCTTACCAGTCACTCCTTGGAAACACTATACAGGGTAGGTATGGGTCAGAACCGACTGGACGGCACTTCACAACAATAACAACTTCTGTAAAGATTTATAGGCCTGGACATCCTATACAGAGTCACTATGAGTTGGAACTGACCCATGGTACACAGCAGCAGCAAATTCAAGTGAAAACTAGACAATGGATAAGGAAGATTGAAGAGTTGATTGGTGGTGACAAAGAATATGAAATATACCATGGACCTCCAGAAAAGCGAACAAATCTGTGTTGGATGACACAGAGCCAAAATGTACTTAGAAGCAAGGATGGCAATACTTTATTTTATTAAGACTTTTTTTGCATGTGAATTGAATGAAGATTTACAAAGTAGATTATCAGTTTGAAACTAAAAAAAAATCATACACTTAGTTCCATCTCAATGACTGTAAACCCTTCACTGTAACATCACTTACCCATTTCTATCCAGTGATACTTGTTTCTATACCTCCTTCTTTCCCAAACCTTATAAATTTTGCTCTTGGGTAAATGCTGCCCTTTTGATTTTGATTGGTTAACCATTCAGTGGTGTTCATGCCTTACTATTGTTGTTGTCCCCACTATATACCAGTCTATTACTTGGTTGAAAATTGAGCCACTAGGGTGAGTTCAATTTCAGACCTGAAGAGTGACCAGAGTTATAGTCTTGGGGTTCTACCAATCTCTATATGACCAGTAAGGCTTGACTTTTTTCATGATTTTGAGTTTTGTTCCATATTTTCTATCACCTTATCCAAGATCTTCTAATGTGATCCCTTTCTGAGCATTTGATCGTGATAATCAGGTCACATTTAATTCTTCTGATATCAGGCTCATGGAGCTTGATGCTCATGTGAACCTTTAGTCCACTGGACTGATTGTTTCCACTTCAATTTTCATCACTCTTCTTTCCTCTGGACAGGGAAAGACCGATAGGTGCACCTAGGATGGCTGCTCATGAGCTTTTAAGATTCCAGTTGTGACTTATCAAAGTATGTTGTAGAACTTTGTCTTTGTGAATTAAGTTATGCTAGTTAACCATGGTATCCCCCGAGATTACAATCCTGAACCCCCGGACCCAGAAACTCATTCCTTCACGGTGTTTGAAATTGTATAAGAATGTTTCATAACTTTGTCCCTTGTATGTTCCACTACATTCATGGTTATATTTGCAGCAGAGATAAATAACCTTTGCTAAACTTTCATGTATTTGTGGGTATACTCGCTCTCTCCTTCTTACAACCTGCCTATCTGTGTATCTACCTGCAGATCATTGTTTTTATAGGCTATTGCATATTTACCTCTTTTGCCTTTAACAATGGATTCACAATCAATGCCAGTGAAAACAGCAATCAAGAAATCAAATAATGTATCTTATTGGGTACATCTACTACAAAAAGACCTCTGTAAAGTGATAATAAGCTAAGATATTACTTCGTAGACTAAGGTGCACCTAACTCAAACTATGTTGTTTTCACTCACCTCACATGCATATGAAAGCTAGACAGTGAATAAGAAGACTGGAAAAGAACTGATGCTTTTGAATTATGGTGATGGTGAAGAATATTAAATATACCATGGAATTTCAGAAGAACAAATAATTATTACAGGACTGTGTATATAACAGTATTTACTTTTGTTGCCTTTAACAGTGGATCCACAATCAATGTCAATGGAGGCAACAATTAAGAAATCAAACAACTTATTTGGTACATCTGGTACAAAAGATAAAGAGGGTGAAAAGGCAACTAACATTGTCACACTTTTATGTATTTGATTTGACACTTTCCCTCCTACACCCAGTCGGCCTATCTATGTACCCACTCATTATTGTTGTGAAGTGTCGTCAAGTCGGCTCAGACTCACAGCAATCCTGCATAGGGTTTCTGAGGAGTGGCTGATAAGTTTGAACTGTTGAATTTTTGGTTCAAGCTGACCTTGTGGTCCAGTGTTGATCCTACAGTTTGAACTTTTGGTTCAAACTGCCAACCTTGAGGTTAGCATCCCAATTTGTAACC